AGCATAACATCATTGTATACCAATAAGCATGAAGGCCATCATTGTATACCAATAAGCATGAAGGACATCATTGTACACCAATAAGCATGAAGGCCATCATTATACACCAATAAGCATGAAGGCCATCATTATACACCAATAAGCATGAAGGGTATCATTATACACCAATAAGCATAACATCATTGTACACCAATAAGCATGAAGGCCATCATTATACACCAATAAGCATGAAGGACAGCATTGTACACCAATAAGCATGAAGGACATCATTGTACACCAATAAGCATGAAGGCCATCATTGTACACCAATAAGCATGAAGGACATCATTGTACACCAATAAGCATGAAGGACATCATTGTACACCAATAAGCATGAAGGACATCATTATACACCAATAAGCATGAAGGGCATCATTGTACACCAATAAACATAAAGGGCATCATTGTACACCAATAAGCATGAAGGACATCATTGTACACCAATAAACATAAAGGGCATCATTGTACACCAATAAGCATGAAGGGCATCATTGTACACCAATAAGCATGAAGGCCATCATTATACACCAATAAGCATGAAGGCCATCATTATACACCAATAAGCATGAAGGACATCATTGTACACCAATAAGCATGAAGGACATTGTACACTAATAAGCATGAAGGACATCATTGTATACAAATAAGCATGAAGGACATCATTGTACACCAATAAGCATGAAGGACATCATTGTACACCAATAAGCATGAAGGACATCATTGTACACTAATAAGCATGAAGGACATCATTGTACACCAATAAGCATGAAGGGCATCATTGTACACCAATAAGCATGAAGGGCATCATTGTACACCAATAAGCATGAAGGACATCATTGTATACAAATAAGCATGAAGGACATCATTGTACACCAATAAGCATGAAGGACATCATTGTACACCAATAAGCATGAAGGACATTGTACACTAATAAGCATGAAGGACATCATTGTATACAAATAAGCATGAAGGACATCATTGTACACCAATAAGCATGAAGGACATCATTGTACACCAATAAGCATGAAGGACATCATTGTACACTAATAAGCATGAAGGACATCATTGTACACCAATAAGCATGAAGGGCATCATTGTACACCAATAAGCATGAAGGACATCATTGTATACAAATAAGCATGAAGGACATCATTGTACACCAATAAGCATGAAGGCCATCATTATACACCAATAAGCATGAAGGCCATCATTATACACCAATAAGCATGAAAGGCATCATTGTACACCAATAAGTATGAAGGCCATCATTGTACACCAATAAGCATGAAGGCCATCATTATACACCAATAAGCATGAAGGCCATCATTGTACACCAATAAGCATGAAGGCCATCATTATACACCAATAAGCATGAAGGGCATCATTGTACACCAATAAGTATGAAGGGCATCATTGTACACCAATAAGCATGAAGGCCATCATTATACACCAATAAGCATGAAGGCCATCATTGTACACCAATAAGCATGAAGGGCATCATTATACACAAAAAAGTATGAATATCACCAATAAACACTGAGGATCAACTTCAGGTTTGTTTCCCATTTTTTCTCAGTTGGTTTCCCAATGCTACGAGGTCCGGCCAGCTGTCTTAATTAACAGAGTGATCAAGGAACAGGCCAGAGCGTCTATGGCGACCTGCACGCTCCTCCTCAAAGCTTCACATACGAGAGAAATGCCCAAAATCGACCCCATCGTAGCCCGCCACCAAATACGAGGTTGGGACCATGTGTACAACCTTATTGGAAGGTTTCAGACGAAAGACAACTCCGAAACCAGGGACCCTCGACAGACCATACGACGGAAGTCTGATGATGCGCTCAGGACAGACGTCACACAGGTATGAATGTTTTTTTCATACCTGTAAAAAGCAGTGGACAAAGCCCTAAGTCTAGAGGAACAAGTCCAGCCACAGCCATAACAACAGCGAACGGCCCAGAAACCCTGACGTTCAGTGTTCTTGATGAACGATGACGACGATGGCCCTCTATTCCCTATTCTAGGCAAGCTTGTCCTTCAACTATCCCCCATCCTCCCAGAACAAACACCGGGACAAACATGAACCGGAGGTTGAGCCCGCAGAGGCCGATCTTCCAACGGAACACCTCGGCTAGCAACAGCAGGCATGGTAGGAATAAGAGACAGGTCACGAGTCAGATGGAAGAGATTCATCGCGAGACAACGAGACAGACTGGTTGACAACCCAGCCACTTTGACTAGACAGTAGAGCGACGGTCTCACTTCATGCAGGTCGGCGTTCAATCCTCGACCGTCCAAGTGGTTGGGAACAATTCCTTCCGTCCCATCCCAAATCCTTATCCTGACCCCTTTCAAGTGCTATAAAGTCGTAATAGTTTGGCGCTTTCCCCTGATAATTAAAAAAATGAAGAAAGGGTGGCACCCAATCCAGGAACAACAGGATCAGATCCGGAGACAATCGAGGCCAGGGTAACACGAACGGCCCCGGCGACACCCGAGGCCAGAACAACAGGAACATCCCAGGCGACAACAGAGGCAATAACAGCAGGGACTACCTCACCTGGAACAACAACAATAAGAGACAGTAGACTATTGTCTACTGTCCGATTATTGCAGAGGCAATAATCAGAATTAGGGGAACAACAACAGACCCAGGCGTTGGAACAGCACAAACCGAGACCTACAGGGAGAAGACTGAGACAGAGGGTGGAACGATGGAGATCGGAGAAACTCAGGAAACGACACGAATTAAAGCAGAGAGGAGGACAACTGAAACAGACAGTTGTATCTGAGGTACCCCTAACTGAACAGGAGAGAAAACTGTTGAAACGGGACTTATGTTCGTGATAGGCCCTTCGGAGCGTAAGAAGAGAGAAGATACAATAGAGGATCTTTGCAACAACTTGGAAACTAGTATCAACCATGTTTGGAGCAAGCTCCGGCCGGAGGAAGGTAAGTCACAGGGAACAGCTAAAAAACTAAACTCTTCCTCTCTTTCAGGTACCTCCATCCCAACAAACCAGTTCAGTGCCCAAACTGCAACCTAGTAGGCCAGAAACCGGTAATCCAGCGAGTGATGGTGGACCTCAAGTGCGGTGCGGAATGACGACGCAACTGCAATCTCCCCAGTAAGGAGAGGGACGCCTTATCAACGCTGAAGGGACGCTCGGATATTGTGATAAAGCAAGCAGACAAGGGAGGTGCTGTCGTCGTCTGGAGATAGAATAACTACAGACACGAGATGATGAGGCACCTGGCAGACACTACAGCCTACAGACAGCTACACAACGAGGATGCGGCGATTAGAAACAACTAAGTGAAGATTAAAAGGATAATACTCAAGCTGTTTGAAAACAAAACTTGGGACTGGAAAGGAGGACTCATATAGGCAGGGGCGAGAGATTTCTTCCTCGCCTTCGAGTCCATCATTCCCCACCTCTACCTTTTACCAAAGTTCCATAAATCACTAAAGAAACAACAAGAACGTGGCAAGGGAGACCAGTTCTAAACGGCTGCCGGGCCCCAATAAAGCCGATAGACTAGATCTGCACAGCCCTCCTGAACCCATTGCTACATCTACTTCTGGAAAGAATCCAAAATATGACGGATTTCCTCTGAAAATTGCAGAAATTAAAGGCCCCGTCCCAAGAGGGTCCAGCCTTTTCTCCATGCATGTGGTATCACTCTACCCGAGTATACCATAGAGAGAAGCTGCAAAGGAAGTAGCATCTTTTTTTGCAGATAACAGACAAAGAATCACACAGGAACTTCGAGACGCAGGAATAGGGAGGATCCCCTCGAAAGAAACTCTTGAGGAGGCCATCCACTATGTGATGAGAGACACCCTCTTGCAATTTGAAGGACTAACGTACCGGCAAACCAAAGGCACAGCAATAGGAGCATCCAGTAGTGTGGCAATCGCTGAAATATTTGTGCATGTTGTGTTCGAGGAAAAAAAATCCCACAGGGAGGACGGACCAGCGGTATATTTCCGTTACATAGACGACATCTTCGGAATAATGGAGGACGGTTTCCTCTGCCTAGAAGGTTTCTTTTCATGGTCAAATACAGTTCTTGAAAACCTTAAGTTTGAGGGTAAACATAGTGACTACGATAAATGTCCACGATACAACAGTGTATATGGACCAGCTACCAGGGATCTGCACACGAAGGCATACTATAAACCGACTAACTTTCACACGCATCTGAAATTTGACTCGAGCCACCGAGACCTACAATAATATGAACAGACCTTCAACAATAGGAGTAACAGAGACAATAATACATGCAGCCCAAGAGAAACTCGGAGAAAAAACAAGGGCGGAGCTACTCAGACCTAGAACACAAGTGGAAGACAAGAGATGGATCCTCCCAACCCTTTTCTTCCCCAGCCTTGCAGCACAGCTTAAGATAAAACTCCAGGAAGTATGGACATGGATGAGGGAAACGTACAGTGATCATCCGTCTTGGGCAAAATTCTCACAAAACCCTCCCATGATCGCCTGGAGGCGAGGTAGGTCTATAAAGAACCACCTTGATAAAGCAGGTGTGCAGGCTGATCATCTCAACCGAACTGGGGAAGAGGACCAGCTCCAGGTTACAGGCCAAAGCAACGGAATCTACAAACCCTAACCTAACCTGACGCAGGCTTGGAGAGTGACCTGAGCTGAGGCGGAGCCCATACAAGTACAAGTGACATCACTAAACACCTGCATCTGTAGGAGGTGTAGGTTACTCTTCCTTCTGATGGTGGTGTTCCAGACAGAGATCATAACAGCTCCCTTGCACACGCGTATCGGTGAAATGTATGATTACAGTGATTAAAAAAAATTATGAGAATAGTAAGAAGTGAAAAACAGAAGAGTCACCATCACCAGGGCAGTAGTGCTGGGAGAACTACCACCATCACCAGGGCGGTAGTGACGGGAGAACTACCACCATCACCAGGTTAACCTGCACGCTCAGTAGGGGGAGGGCAGAATGTCCATCTTGAGCGTGACCTTCACGCTAATATCGACCCACTCCACATGGCGCACCACGTTAGCGCCTGGGAAGGCACCCTTGCCAGCGACCCCTGGGGGGGACAGGACCCGTCTACCCTCTGAGACGGATGGCTCTGCTTTACGCTCGGTGACTGGAGGCTCTGCTCTATGTTCGGTGACTGGAGGCTCTGCTCTATGTTCGGTGACTGGAGGCTCTGCTCTATGTTCGGTGACTGGAGGCTCTGCTCTATGTTCGGTGACTGGAGGCTCTGCTTTACGCTCGGTGACTGGAGGCTCTGCTATTTGTTCGGTGACTGGAGGCTCTGCTCTATGTTCGGTGACTGGAGGATCTGCTCTGTGTTCGGTGACTGGAGGCTCTACTCTATATTCGGTGACTGGAGGCTCTACTATTTGTTCAGTGACTGGAGGCTCTGCTCTATATTCGGTGACTGGAGGCTCTACTATTTGTTCGGTGACTGGAGGCTCTGCTCTATGTTCGGTGACTGAAGGCTCTGCTCTATGTTCGGTGACTGGAGGCTCTGCTCTATTTGTTTGGTGACCGGAGGCTCTGCTCTATGTTCGGTGACTGAAGGCTCTGCTATTTGTTTGGTGACTGGAGGCTCTGCTTTACGCTCGGTGACTGGAGGCTCTGCTATTTGTTCGGTGACTGGAGGCTCTGCTCTATGTTCGGTGACTGGAGGCTCTGCTCTATGTTCGGTGACTGAAGGCTCTGCTATTTGTTTGGTGACCGGAGGCTCTGCTCTATGTTCGGTGACTGGAGGCTCTGCTCTATGCTCGGTGACTGGAGGCTCTGCTATTTGTTCGGTGACTGGAGGCTCTGCTCTACGTTCGGTGACCTGAGGCTCTGCTCTACGTTCGGTGACTGGAGGTTCTGCTCTATGTTCGGTGACTGGAGGCTCTGCTCTATGTTCGGTGACTGGAGGCTCTGCTCTATGTTCGGTGACTGGAGGCTCTGCTCTATGTTCGGTGACTGGAGGCTCTACTATTTGTTCGGTGACTGGAGGCTCTGCTCTATGTTCGGTGACTGGAGGCTCTGCTCTATGTTCGGTGACTGGAGGCTCTACTATTTGTTCGGTGACTGGAGGCTCTGCTCTATGTTCGGTGACTGGAGGCTCTGCTCTATGTTCGGTGACTGGAGGCTCTGCTCTATGTTCGGTGACTGGAGGCTCTGCTCTATGTTCGGTGACTGGAGGCTCTGCTCTATGTTCGGTGACTGGAGGCTCTGCTCTATGTTCGGTGACTGGAGGCTCTGCTCTATGTTCGGTGACTGGAGGCTCTACTATTTGTTCGGTGACTGGAGGCTCTGCTCTATGTTCGGTGACTGGAGGCTCTACTATTTGTTCGGTGACCGGAGGCTCTGCTCTATGTTCGGTGACTGGAGGCTCTGCTCTATGTTCGGTGACAGGAGGCTCTTCTTTACGCTCGGTGACTGGAGGCTCTGCTCTATGTTCGGTGACTGGAGGCTCTACTATTTGTTCGGTGACCGGAGGCTCTGCTCTATGTTCAGTGACTGGAGGCTCTGCTCTATGTTCGGTGACTGGAGGCTCTGCTCTATGTTCGGTGACTGGAGGCTCTGCTCTATGTTCAGTGACTGGAGGCTCTGCTTTACGCTTGGTGACTGGAGGCTCTGCTCTATGTTCGGTGACTGGAGGCTCTGCTCTATGTTCGGTGACTGGAGGCTCTGCTCTAGGCTCGGTGTCTGGAGGCACTGCTCTAGGCTCGGTGACTGGAGGCTCTGCTCTATGGTCGGTGACTGGAGGCTCTGCTATTTGTTTGGTGACTGGAGGCTCTGCTCTATGTTCGGTGACTGGAGGCTCTGCTCTAGGCTGGGTGACTGGAGGCTCTGCTCTATGTTCGGTGACTGGAGGCTCTGCTCTAGGCTGGGTGACTGGAGGCTCTGCTCTATGTTCGGTGACTGGAGGCTCTGCTCTATGTTCGGTGACTGGAGGCTCTGCTCTAGGCTGGGTGACTGGAGGCTCTGCTCTATGTTCGGTGACTGGAGGCTCTGCTCTATGTTCGGTGACTGGAGGCTCTGCTCTATGTTCGGTGACTGGAGGCTCTGCTCTATGTTCGGTGACTGGAGGCTCTGCTCTATGTTCGGTGACTGGAGGCTCTGCTTTATGTTCGGTGACTGGAGGCTCTGCTTTACGGTCGGTGACTGGAGGCTCTGCTCTATGTTCGGTGACTGGAGGCTCTGCTATTTGTTTGGTGACTGGAGGCTCTGCTCTATGTTCGGTGATTGGAGGCTCTGCTCTATGTTCGGTGACTGGAGGCTCTGCTCTAGGCTGGGTGACTGGAGGCTCTGCTCTATGTTCGGTGACTGGAGGCTCTGCTCTAGGCGGCTCTGCTTTATATTCGGTGACTGGAGGCTCTGCTTTACGATCGGTGACTGGAGGCTCTGCTCTATGTTCGGTGACTGGAGGCTCTGCTATTTGTTTGGTGACTGGAGGCTCTGCTCTATGTTTGGTGACTGGAGGCTCTGCTCTATGTTCGGTGATTGGAGGCTCTGCTCTATGTTCGGTGATTGGAAGCTCTGCTCTATGTTCGGTGACTGGAGGCTCTACTATTTGTTCGGTGACCGGAGGCTCTGCTCTATGTTCGGTGACTGGAGGCTCTGCTCTATGTTCGGTGACTGGAGGCTCTGCTCTATGTTCGGTGACTGGAGGCTCTACTCTTTGTTCGGTGACCGGAGGCTCTGCTCTATGTTCGGTGACTGGAGGCTCTGCTCTATGTTCGGTGACTGGAGGCTCTGCTCTATCCTCGGTGACTGGAGGCTCTGCTCTATGTTCGGTGACTGGAGGTTCTACTATTTGTTCGGTGACTGGAGGCTCTGCTCTAGGCTGGGTGACTGGAGACTCTGCTCTATGTTCGGTGACTGGAGGTTCTACTATTTGTTCGGTGACCGGAGGCTCTGCTCTATGTTCGGTGACTGGAGGCTCTGCTCTAGGCTGGGTGACCGGAGGCTCTGTTCTATGTTCGGTGACTGGAGGCTCTGCTCTAGGCTCGGTGACTGGAGGCTCTGCTCTAGGCTGGGTGACAGGAGGCTCTGCTTTATGTTCGGTGACTGGAGGCTCCGCTCTATGTTCGGTGACTGGAGGCTCCGCTCTATGTTCGGTGACTGGAGGCTCTGCTCTATGTTCGGTGACTGGAGGCTCTGCTCTATGTTCGGTGACTGGAGGCTCTACTATTTGTTCGGTGACTGGAGGCTCTATTTGTTCGGTGACCGGAGGCTCTATTTGTTCGGTGACTGGAGGCTCTGCTCTATGTTCGGTGACTGGAGGCTCTGCTCTATGTTCGGTGACTGGAGGCTCTGCTCTAGGCTGGGTGACTGGAGGCTCTGCTCTATGTTCGGTGACTGGAGGCTCTGCTCTAGGCTGGGTGACCGGAGGCTCTGCTCTAGGCTGGGTGAGGGGCGGCTCTACTCTAGTCTGGGTGAGGGGCGGCTCTACTCTAATCTGGGTGACCGGAGGCTCTGCTCTAGGCTGGGTGAGGGGCGGCTCTACTCTAGTCTGGGTGACCGGAGGCTCTGCTCTAGGCTGGGTGAGGGGCGGCTCTTCTCTAGTCTGGGTGACCGGAGGCTCTGCTTTAGTCTGGGTGAGGGGCGGCTCTACTCTAATCTGGGTGACCGGAGGCTCTGCTCTAGGCTGGGTGAGGGGCGGCTCTGCTCTAGTTTGGGTGAGGGGCGGCTCTACTCTAGTCTGGGTGACCGGAGGCTCTGCTCTAGTTTGGGTGAGGGGCGGCTCTGCTCTAGGCTGGGTGAGGGGCGGCTCTACTCTAGTCTGGGTGACCGGAGGCTCTGCTCTAGTCTGGGTGAGGGGCGGCTCTGCTCTAGTTTGGGTGAGGGGCGGCTCTACTCTAGTCTGGGTGACCGGAGGCTCTGCTCTAGGCTGGGTGAGGGACGGCTCTGCTCTAGTTTGGGTGAGGGGCGGCTCTACTCTAGTCTGGGTGACCGGAGGCTCTGCTCTAGGCTGGGTGAGGGACGGCTCTGCTCTAGTTTGGGTGAGGGGCGGCTCTACTCTAGTTTGGGTGAGGGGCGGCTCTACTCTAGGCTGGGTGATGGGCGGCTCTACTCTAGGCTGGGTGATGGGCGGCTCTGCTCTAGTCTGGGTGAGGGGCGGCTCTGCTCTAGTCTGGGTGAGGGGCGGCTCTACTCTAGTCTGGGTGAGGGGCGGCTCTACTCTAGCCATAGAGCGGGAGGGCTTGATGACGTATGTGGTGTTGTCCGGGAGACAGTGGAGGGAGAAGCCGCGGGAGAGGACGAGACAGGTGACGTGGGCCAGGGTGGCCTGCAGCTGGCCCGCCTCCAGGGCCACCACCTGCACCTGGCTGGCCAGCACCCTCATGGCCGGCCGCGCCTCCCTCTCCAGGGCCTCCTCCTGCCCCGCCGCCCACCGCCACCCCGCGCTCTGCCGCTCCACCCACTCCCCGAACACCTCCTTCCCGTCGTTGGGTGGGTCGCGGCGCCAGTCCGGGCAGGCCATGACGACGTAGGTGGCGTCGTCCGGGAGGGCCTGGAGGTAGTGGCCGGCGGGGACGACCAGGCAGGTGACGGCGCTCACCGTCACGTGCAGCCGGCCGCCCGTCACCCCCTCCTGCCGCACCGCGTCCCTGGACACCACCCTCAGCACGGGCTGGGTCGGCGGGCCCGTCCACGCCAGCCACTGCCTCTCCATGTGGCGGAGGTCGGCGTCCTCCACGGCGGGGACCTGGACCACCAGGACCCCGGCCTCCACCAGGGCCCTGTACACTCGCAGGGTGATGCCCGTCATCTTCAGGGGCCCCGCGCCCTTCAGCAGCAGCGTCAGCAGCTCCTCCAGGGCCACCTGGGCCTCCTCCAGCTCCTCCTCGCTGAACGTCGCCGGCAGGATGGTCTCCGCCGTCTCTCTGTAGTCGCCGCTGTGTGTCGTCCGCTGTGTCATAGGGGGCTGCTGCTGCTTGGTCGTCGGGGGCTGCTGCTTTGTCGTTGGGGGCTGTTGTGTTATAGGGGGCTGCTGCTGCGTCGTCGGGGGCTGTTGTGTTATAGGGGGCTGCTGCTGCGTCGTCGGGGGCTGTTGTGTTATAGGGGGCTGCTGCTGCGTCGTCGGGGGCTGTTGTGTTATAGGGGGCTGCTGCTGCTTTGTCGTCGGGGGCTGCTGCGTCGTTGGGGGCTGTTGTGTTATAGGGGCTGCTGCTGCGTCGGGGCTGCTGCTGCGTCGTCGGGGGCTGTTGTGTTATAGGGGGCTGCTGCTGCTTTGTCGTCGGGGGCTGCTGCTTTGTCGTTGGGGCTGTTGTGTTATAGGGGGCTGCTGCTGCGTCGTCGGGGCTGCTGCTGCGTCGTCGGGGGCTGCTGCTGCGTCGTCGGGGGCTGTTGTGTTATAGGGGGCTGCTGCTGCGTCGTCGGGGGCTGCTGCTTTGTCGTTGGGGGCTGTTGTGTTATAGGGGGCTGCTGCTCCGTCGTCGGGGGCTGCTGTGTTGTAGGGGGTTGGACAGGCGGCGTAGGCTGCTGTGTTGTAGGGTCCTGTGTTGTAGGGGTCTGCTGTGGCGTCGAGGGCTGCTCTGGCTTTGTGGGCTGGTCGCTGTTGTTGGCCATTTTTGTTGTATCACAATTTATTTTTATTAATGTTATATTGTATATAATGTATCCTGGCCGGAAGGAGAATGTAAAGCCAGATGTTGTGAGGCGGGTGTTTAGTGATGCCTCACCTACAGATGCAGGTGTTTAGTGATGCCTCACCTACAGATGAAGGTGTTTAGTGATGCCACACCTACACATGCAGGTGTTGAGTGATGCCACACCTACAGATGCAGGTGTTGAGTGATGCCTCACCTACAGATGCAGGTGTTTAGTGATGCAACACCTACACATGCAGGTGTTTAGTGATGCAACACCTACACATGCAGGTGTTTAGTGTAGTCACTTGTACTTGTAGGGCCCTTCTAACCACTCCGCCTCAGCTCAGGTCACTCTCCAAACCTGTGTCAGGTTAGGTTAGAGTCTGTAGGTTCGTTGCTTTGGCCTGTAACCTGGAGCTGGTCCTCTTCCCCAGTTCGGTTGTGATGATCAGCCTGCACACCTGCTTTAACAAGGTGGTTCTTTATAGACCTACCTCGCCTCCAGGCGATCATGGGAGGGTTTTGTGAGAATTTTACCCAAGAGGGATGATCACTGTACGTTTCCCCTCATCCATGTCCATACTTCCTGGAGTTTTATCTTAAGCTGTGCTGCAAGGCTGGGGAAGAAAAGGGTTGGGAGGATCCATCTCTTGTCTTCCACTTGTGTTCTAGGTCTGAGTAGCTCCGCCCTTGTTTTTTTCGAGTTTCTCCTGGGCTGCATATATTATTGTCTGTTCCTGAACATATCCCATAGGTCATCAAGCTGGGCGGTATAACGTCTCTTCTTTGCTGTTAACCCGCTTGAGTCTGAGCCCGAGTGAGTAGGGTAGCGATTTTTTCAAGGCTAGTGGGTGGCTTGAGTAGATGCGTGTGAAGGTTAGTCGGTTTATAGTATGCCTTCGTGTGCAGATCCCTGGTTAGCTCGTCTATGTACACTGTTGTATCTAGGACATTTATCGTAGTGTCACTATGTTTGAGGGTAAACTTAAGGTTTTCAAGAACTGTATTTGACCATGAAAAGAAACCTTCTAGGCAGAGGAAACCGTCCTCCAGTATTCCGAAGATGTCGTCTATGTAACGGAAATATACCGCTGGTCCGTCCTCCCTGTAGGATTTTTTTTCCTCGAACACAACATGCACAAATATTTCAGCGATTGCCACACTACTGGATGCTCCTATTGCTATGCCTTTGGTTTGGCGATACGCTAGTCCTTCAAATTACAAGAGGGTGTCTCTCATCACATGGAGGATGGCCTCCTCAAGAGTTTCTTTCGAGGGAATCCTCCCTATTCCTGCGTCTCGAAGTTCCTGTGTGATTCTTTGTCTGTTATCTGTAAAAAAAAAGATACTACTACCTTTGCAGCTTCTCTCTGTGGTATACTCGGGTAAAGTGATACCACATGCATAGTGAAAAGGCGGGACCCTCTCGGGGCCTCTAATTTCTGCAATTTCGAGAGGAAATCTGTCGTATCATGGATTCTTTCCAGAAGTAGACGTAGCAATGGGTTCAGGAGGGCTGTGCAGATCCAGTCTACCGGCTTTATTGGGGCCCGGCAGCCGCTTAAAACTGGTCTCCCTTGCCACGTTCCTGTTGTTCCTTTAGTGATTTATGGAACTTTGGTAAAAGGTAGAGGTGGGTAATGATGGACTCGAAGGCGAGGAAGAAATCTCTCGCCCCTGCCTATATGAGTCCTCCTTTCCAGTTCCATGTTTTGTTTTCAAACAGCTTGAGTATTATCCTTTTAATCTTCGCTTAGTGGTTTCTAATCGCCGCATCCTCGTTGTGTAGCTGTCTGTAGGCTGTAGTGTCTGCCAGGTGCCTCATCATCTCGTGTCTGTAGTTATTCTATCTCCAGACGACGACAGCACCTCCCTTGTCTGCTAGCTTTATCACAATATCCGAGCGTCCCTTCAGCGTTGATAAGGCGTCCCTCTCCTTCCTGGGGAGATTGCAGTTGCGTCGTCGTTCCGCACCGCACTTGAGGTCCACCTTCACTCGCTGGATTACCGGTTTCTGGCCTACTAGGTTGCAATTTGGGCACTGAACTGATTTGTTGGGATGGAGGTACCTGAAAGAGAGGAAGAGTTTAGTTTTTTGACTGCTTCCTTAGACTTACCTTCCTCCGGCCGGAGCTTGCTCCAAACATGGTTGATACTAGTTTCCAAGTTGTTGCAAAGATCCTCTATTGTATCTTCTCTCTTCTTACGCTCCGAAGGGCCAGTCACGAACGCAAGTCCCGTTCCAACAGTTTTCTCTCCTGTTCAGTTAGGGGTACCTCAGATACAACTGTCTATTTCAGTTGTCCTCCTCTCTGCTTTAATTCGTGTCGTTTCCTGAGTTTCTCCGATCTCCATCGTTCCACCCTCTGTCTCAGTCTTCTCCCTGTAGGTCTCGGTTTGTGCTGTTCCAACGCCTGGGTCTGTTGTTGTTCCCCTAATTCTGATTATTGCCTCTGCAATAATCGGACAGTAGACAATAGTCTACTGTCTCTGTTATTGTTTTTGTTCCAGGCGAGGTAGTCCCTGCTGTTATTGGCTCTGTTGTCGCCTGGGCTGTTCCTGTTTTTCTGGCCTCGATTGTCGCCGGGGCCGTTCCTATTACCCTGGCCTCGATTGTCTCCGGATCTGATCCTGTTGTTCCTGGCTTGGGTGCCATCCGTTCTTCATTTTTTTTAATTATCAGGGGGAAGCCGCCAAGCCATTACGACTTTATAGCACTTGAAAGGGGTCAGGATAAGAATTTGGGATGGGACGGAAGGAAGGAATTGTTCCCAACCACTTGGACGGTCGGGGATTGAACGCCGACCTGCATGAATTGAGACCGTCGATCTACCGTCCAGTCAAAGTGGCTGGGTTGACACCCGGTCTGTCTCGTCTCGCGATGAATCTCTTCCATCTGACTCGTGACCTGTCTCTTATTCCTACCATGCCTGCTGTTGCTAGCCGAGGTGTTCCGTTGGAAGTTCGGCCTCTGTGGGCTCAACCTCCAGTTCTTGTTTGTCCTGGTGTCTGTTCTGGGAGGATGGGGGATAGTTGAAGGACAAGCTTGCCTAAAATAGGGAATAGAGGGCCATCGTCGTCATCGTTCATCAGGAGCACTGAACGTCAGGGTTTCTGGGCTGTTCGCTGTTGTTATGGCTGTGGCTGGACTTGTTCCTCTAGACTTAGGGCTTTGTCCACTGCTTTTCACAGGTATGAAAAAAACATTCATACCTGTGTGACGTCTGTCCTGAGCGCATCATCAGACTTCCGTCGTATGGTCTGTCGAGGGTCCCTGGTTTCGGAGTTGTCTTTCGTCTGAAACCTTCCAATAAGGTTGTACACATGGTCCCAACCTCGTATTTGGTGGCGGGCTACAATGAGGTCGATTTTGGGCATTTCTCTCGTATGTGAAGCTTTGAGGAGGAGCGTGCAGGTCGCCATAGACGCTCTGGCCTGTTCCTTGATCACTCTGTTAATTAAGACAGCTGGCCGGACCTCGTAGCATTGGGAAACCAACTAAAAAAAATGGGAAACAAACCTGAAGTTGATCCTCAGTGTTTATTGGTGATATTCATACTTTTTTGTGTATAATGATGGCCTTCATGCTTATTGGTATACAATGATGTCCTTCATGCTTATTGGTGTATAATGATGGCCTTCATGCTTATTGGTGTACAATGATGTCCTTCATGCTTATTGGTGTACAATGATGGCCTTCATGCTTATTGGTGTACAATGATGGCCTTCATGCTTATTGGTGTATAATGATGGCCTTCATGCTTATTGGTGTACAATGATGCCCTTCATGCTTATTGGTGTATAATGATGCCCTTCATGCTTATTGGTGTACAATGATGCCCTTTATGTTTATTGGTGTACAATGATGCCCTTTATGTTTATTGGTGTATAATGATGGCCTTCATGCTTATTGGTGTACAATGATGCCCTTCATGCTTATTGGTGTACAATGATGCCCTTTATGTTTATTGGTGTACAATGATGCCCTTTATGTTTATTGGTGTACAATGATGTCCTTCATGCTTATTGGTGTACAATGATGCCCTTCATGTTTATTGGTGTACAATGATGGCCTTCATGCTTATTGGTGTACAATGATGTTATGCTTATTGCCCCCCCCCTCCCTGTTCAGCCCGTTGACGCCGTGCGGGGGGCTTAGTGGGCAGCTGCCGGAGTGTGATGCTCCTTGGGACAGTCCTCTGTCCTTTTATAGCCTTGTGCTCCTGCTGCTGTCCTCTCTAATTATGCTGAACGACTTTTCCTTTTCCTTCTGTTTCGTTTTTCTTCGCCCCCCCCCCCCCCCCATCCCCTCTTCTCCTATCTGCTTGTCGTTTCCTGCCGATCTTTTGCTTGTTTTGGTTATTCCTTTGGACTTTTTTTCGTTTGACGCCCGGGTGCTTGAGGAGGCATACTCTTGCTCCCGTAGAACTGTAGTACCCAACGTCTCAAGCTAGGGGAACCTTTTATTGTCAATCCCCCTTTCGTCACTGAACCCAATCTCGACGGACTGACGGTTCTTAAGGTGGCGTTTGTGGGGCGTATACTCACGACGCACCCCTAGGGGGCCCCGGCATGATCGGCGATAGCTTCCTGTTGGGTGTCCTGCCTCTAATTGTGGCTCCATGGTAGGTGTGGGGGCACATTCGTTTGAATTTTTTCACTCTTCGTCTGTATGCCGTTGAATGTTTTTGTTGTACCCTCTCGGGCTTGTGGGGTGGGCGACCAAGCCCCCGAGTCGGCCTGTATAGGAAGACCAGGCTCTGTAGCTCCCGCTGCGTTGGGCCCCGACCTTGCTCCTCCTTTGACTCTCCTGACTTCTTCCCCCAGCTCCCCTCCCTCCTCTGTCATTAGGTCGAGCCTGAAGCCCCAAGTGGTGACCACTTCGTCCCCTGGTGCGGCTAAGTCTCTCGTTGTGACTACTGCGCCTTTTGACCCCTCTCTCTCTGGGGGTTCTCAACGTCGTCCGCGCCACGGCCG